GAGGGAGTACTCTTGCGATGCCTAGGAGAAGAAGAAGCTCTCCAAGCTTTGCAAGAGGCACATTATGGGGTATGTGGGTCACACCAGTCCGGACCAAAGCTCCACTTCCATATAAAAAGGATGGGATATTATTGGCCAACGATGGTAAAAGATTGGTTGGACTACGCTCGAAGATGCAAGGCTTGTCAATTCCATGTGAATTTTATTCATCAACCTCCTGAAGTGTTGCACCCGACTGTTGCATCCTGGCCATTTGACACTTCGGGATTGGATGTTGTTGGACCACTGCCAAAGTCCTCTGGTGGGCACCTATACATTTTGGCTGCAACTGACTACTTCTCAAAATGGGCTGAAGCTCTTGCTCTTAAGGAAGTAAAAAAGGAAAATGTTGCAAGTTTCATTCGAGTAAACATTATTTATCGCTTTGGCATTCCTCGTTACATAATAACGGATAATGGAAAGACATTCGATAGGAGGTTGATGAACAGGATTTGTGATCTCTTTGGCTTCAAGCAACGTAACTCTTCGATGTAAAATGCTGCCGCCAATGGTCTAGCTGAGGCATTCAACAAGACTCTATGCAACTTGTTAAAGAAAGTTGTCTCCAAATCCAAACGAGATTGGAATGACCGTATGGAAGAAGCTCTATGGGCATATAGAATGACTCATCGCACGCCTACACAAGTGACTTCTTTATTCACTCATTTATGGAGTCGAAGCCGTCTTGCCACTTGAGTGTCAAATACCTTTGTTACGACTGGCTATTCAAGAAGGAATCACTGATGAAGAAAATGCTCGACTTCGATTAGCAGAGTTGGAAGCTCTTGATGAAAAGAGATTGGAAGCTCAACAGAGTCTTGAATGTTATCAAGCTCGATTGTCTCGCGCCTTTAATAAAAGAGTTCGTCCGAGATCCTTTCAAGTAGGAGATCAAATCCTTGTCGTACGAAGACCTATAATTACTTCCCATAAACCTGTAGGGAAGTTCACTTCAAAATGGGATGAGCCATATGTCGTACAAGAAGCTTATTCAAGTAGGGCTTACAAAGCTGGTTGATGCAGATGGTATGAAAATCGACCCTATCAACGGCAAGTTTTTGAAGAAGTATTATCCATGAAGTTGCAAGTCATAATGCTCCTAGACGTACGAGCCTAAACTGTAAGTCATGATGCTCATCGACGTACGAGCCTAAACTGCAAGTCATGATGCTCCTCGATGCATGAGCCTAAACTGCATGTTGCTACACTCCTGGCCTGCAAGAGTATAAACTGTGTGCGGCCCAAAAGAAAAGTCCGCTAGGTTGAAAATCTCGAAAGAGGTGGCCTAGGCAAAAGTTAGGACGTAAAAAAAAATCTACCCAGTCTGAACTACGGTATGACTTGATCCTCTTCACCGAGGTACGTAGGCAGCTTAGAGTTTCATTCTAAGTTCAATTGCATAAGTTCAAAAGATACATATTACCCCAATTGTTGTCCGAGTGAAGTATGGAGGAATGCAAAATCAAGCTGAAATGCCATCCTCTTGTTGAACTTTGATCTCATTTGATTTAAAAGGAGCAACCCTCCATGGTAAATTGATATCTTCAAGTCCGTTAGTAGTCAAGTTGAAGTCCCCAAGTTGAAATCTTCAACTCTGTCGGTCTTCAAGTTGAAGTCCTCAAATTCGCCGATTTTCGAGTTGAAATATTTAGGCCCTCCAAGTCTCAAAGTTGAAGTCTTCAAGTCCGTTGGTCTACAAGTTAAAGTCTTCAAATTCGCCGATCTTCAAGTTGAAATATTTAGGCCTTCCAAGTCTCAAAGTTGAAGTCTTCAAGTCCGCCGGTCTTCAAGTTAAAGTTTTCAAATTCGCCGATCTTCAAGTTGAAATATTTAGGCCCTCCAAGTCTCAAAGTTGAAGTCTTCAAGTTCGTCGGTCTTCAAGTTTCAGTCTTCTAATTCGCCGGTCTTAAAGTTGAAATATTTAAGCCCCCCAAGTTAAAGTCTTCAAGTTCATCGGTCATCAAGTTTCAGTCTTCAAATTCGCCGATCTTAAAGTTGAATTGTTTAAGCCCTCCGAATCTTCGAGTTGAAGTCTGCAAAGTCCGCCAAATCTTCAAAATTTTCCAAGTGTTCAAGTCGATGTCGTCTTCAAGTTGAAGATTTGTAACTTTCCAATCTTAAGGTGGACATATAAGTCCCTTTGCACCTTAAGTTGGCCTCTTCGTGGGTTTGTCCTTAAAAGGAACTATAACTTTCCAATCTTAAGGTGGACATATGAGTCCCTTTGCACCTTAAGTTGGCCTCTCCGGTAGTCGGGCCATTTTGAGAGTAATCTCTCCAAGAATTGGGCCACATTGAGAGTAATCTCTCCAAGAATCGGGCCATTTTGAGAGTCATCTCTCCAAGAATTGGGCCACATTGAGAGTCATCTCTCCAAGAATCGGACCACATTGAGAGTAATCTCTCCAAGAATCGGGCTACATTAAGAGTAATCTCTCCAAGAATTGGGCCATTTTGAGAGTAATCTCTCCAAGAATTGGGCCATTTTGAGAGTAATCTCTCCAAGAATTTGGCCACATTGAGAGTAATCTCTCCAAGAATCGGGCCATTTTAAGAGTAACCTCTCCGATATTCGGGCAAGTATGAATACTCATCCCCTCACACTCCAAGATTGTCTTCTTCATGCGTGGATCATCTTGTTAAACAAAAACACACCCTTCTCGCTTGAACTACAAAAAAACGGACAACAAAACAAGAAAAGCACAAGTAAAGAAGAAGAAGAAATTACCTTCACGTTAATGCTTCCGAATCGTCAAAAGCTAGACTCAATATGGCTTGCACGCTACGAATTGATGTTCATAGAGGCTGAGCGTGCGGTATATATAGGCTTTGAAAGGGAAACCATGTACAAATTTTAGTCGATGTGGGGTCAATTGCACAAAAGCAGTAAGCTAACTCTTCCGTGTTCCAGTAGGACTTGGCTAGAGGTATTCGATTCGGATTAGGACATGAAAATCGCCGCGTGTGTGGAGTTATTGCAATTGGTCTATTGCTAAAAGACTATCCATGTGAAGGTTGGAAATCTTTTACTACTACGTGGCAAAGCTATCTGGAGAATTCAGGCATATTATTGGTGTACTTGCTGAAAGTAACTAAGTTGCATGCTCCATTTAATTGTTCCTGTGTACGTGAGGAAATGTACAAATTGTCCAAAAGCAAAAGGAAGAAAGGAAAGATTTTGGAATTCACTAAGCTAGGGAGAATTAAAATTGTGACAGGAAACTGATATTGCAATTTGACGCAAGAGCACGTATGACCATTTGATGTATACTCCAAGCCTTGCCTTCCAAATTTTATGAGTTTAAGCTCCGACAAGTCTTGAGGTAGGGGCATTTGTAGGCATGTAAATATTATTAGAATTAAATTTATTAAATAATTTGAACTATATTTTAAATTCAAGATATATTAGTCCAAATAAATATATGGGCTAATATAATTGAATTAATTATATAAGTCCAATATATATGGATTAAATAAATAAGTCTTAATCCATTGGGCTAGCCCATTTAATTGGGCTAAAGTGACGAGCCCACTTCATTAGGCCCAAAATGTCATCTTCCTAAAAGCCCAATTTGGTGCCACGTGCTAAATGACGTGGCGCGCCAAGTCAAATGAAAGAGCCAATAGGATCATGTCACGTGTCAAAATGACAAGGCATTCCAAGTCACACTAAAAAAAGCCAATGGAATCGTGCCACGTGTGCAAGTGACATGTTCTGTCCAATCAAATGCGGCCATGTCACACTTCAATTTGATTGGTCGGAAAGAGTTTGTTCTTATCACAACTCTTCCCTCCCACAACTATAAATAGGGGCCTTCATAACGTAGAAAAGACACCAGAAGTTATAACAAGAAGCAAGAAAGAGCTCGTGGATCAAATGCTGCAAATTCCTCCACAAGTTTCAAGCTTCAAGTTCAAGTTCAAGAAATCAAGTGCAAGTTCAAGAACGAAGAACAAATCAAGGTCAAGTTCAAGCAATCAAGCTCAAGCTCAAGAACAAGATCATCGTTCGAGGCAACAAATACATATTCAAGATCAAACTTAAAGGCCCTTGAATTTATTTACTATTGAAAAGTAGAATCAGAGGATTTATAGAGATTGTAACACTCAAATATTCGAAATAAAATACTACGATTGTTGCGATATTTTTCGGTCTTGATTTTATTTTCTCGACACAAATCTATTGTCTACAGGCATGTCGCCATATAAATTGGTATTTGAGAAAGCGTGTCAGTTACCCGTGGAGTTAGAGCATAGAGCTTTATGGGCACTACGACAATTGAATCTCGATATGGAAGCTGTGGGGTACAAATAGAGTCACAGAGTTGCACGAGCTGGATGAGTTTTGTTACCATGCTTTTGAGAGCACAAAGTTATACAAGGAGAGAATGAAAATGATTCATGACAAGAATATTGTGGAGTGCAATTTTAAACTTGGAGATTTGGTATTGTTGTGTAATTCATGACTGAAATTGTACCCCGGCAAGTTGAAGTCAAGATGGTCAGGACCATTTCGTGTACTAGAGATACATCCTATGGGAGCAGTTGTAATTGGGTCGGAAAATGGAGCACACAAGTTCACATTTATTGGGAAAAAGTTGAAATATTACCTTGGCATTGGCAACGAGATCGTGAGTAACTGCATCGTGCCGCAACATTAAATCAGACACTTGTTGGGAGGCAACCCAATTTTTTATTGCTTTCGGTAGATTTTTTTGTTTTTGTTAGAGAAGTGTTTCAACAATTTTGTGTAGTTGTGTGTGTCATATAATTGCAGGTTGGTGTTGGCACAGTCATTTAACATGGTGGACAATGGCTAGGGATTAATGGCATAGCCTAAGTTCTCATAAATAATAATAATAATAATAATAAAAGTAGTAGAAGCAGAGTTCAGCGCCCAACTGGGCACCTGGCGTGAACCAAAACGCAAAGGGCAGAAATAGAGAAGCACAAGCATGCCCTCTTCAGCACCAGGCACATTTCAAAGCGCTAAGGCCGCCCAGGTAAGTACCCTTCCCTTTACCCGCGACCTGAACCGACCCCGTTTCCCCTTCACCTCCTGACCCATTTTCCCACCTATAATAAAACACCCCACCATATAAAACCCAACCGAACCTACCACACCACTCTAACTAAAATCACACCCCACGTAATAAAAAACCCAAATCCCTCCCTGCCTAGATCTCTCTCTCTCTCCCCGGTTTTCCCTCATACCCATCTCTCTCTCGCTCGTCTCTCTAGTGCTGCACAGAGAAGTTACTTCTTCTCTTTTCTTTTCATTTTCTTGGTATTCACTTGGTGACACCTCCCTACTCCCCCTGCCCACTATCGATTTCCCATATCCCAAACCCCCAAGACTTGATGTTGATATATGATTTGTTTGTGACTTTTGTGCAACAATTGCCATGCAATGGTTGAGTTGGTAATTGACTAAGCGATGGAAAACTATCAGTCCCACCACCTTGTTTACTTGGGAGGGTACAACATGAGCCACATTGTGTGAAAACCTTGAGTGTCAGTGTTGCGCACCAAATGTTCGACAAAATTCTTGAAGTCTTTGATTGCCGGTGAATTCTGAGTAACCGAGCATTATTTGTTGGTGCTATGGTATGAGTGTGGGGTATTAGGGAGTGATGTTGTGCACGAAGGTCATATGTGTGTGCCTATCTGATTTGCACCAGTAATGTACAGTATTCTTTGTTTTTCTTTTTAGGTATTTCATAGAATTGTAGTGTATAATAATTGCTTGTATAATGAATCAGGGCCAACAATGCTATGATAGAATTATTTTAAAGCTCCTAGCGTAGAGAGATGCATTATATTGTATGTGATCAAGTTATATGCTACATGCTGACGTTGTTGGTTGCTAAGGGGAAATCTTGAGTACCCGAAGCATTGCTTGAATCTTAAGTGTGTGGTCGTCCCAATCCTACCTTTTGTCTATAGAGGATCTTTGAAGTTCTAACTAATGCGGCATTTGTTATTTACAGGTTTCGGTACTAATGACTCGTGAAGGTTTGAAAAAGGCAAAGGCAACTGCAAAGCCTTCTACTACTGCCCCATCCACAAAGAAGCGCAAACACAGTGAGGTTGCTTCAAGCAAATCAGGGAAAGGCAATCAAGTGGCTGATCCTTCTACCAGGCAGCCACGTGTGCCTCGTCCAGCCCTACAGGTAGATAGAAATGATGCAAAAAGATGGTACCACTCCTTTGTACCATACGAGCGGTATATCTCGGAGATGGGCATCAATACCACAACTTTGGAGCAGCATTTTCCTACTATTCTGGACCGGATAAAGGAGTTGAAGCTGCACCATTTTTTAGAAAGTCCCGGGCCAGCTAATTTGAGCATGGTGAAAGAATTATATGCTAATTGGAATTTTCAGAAGAATGAATCCTATGTGCGAGGTGTGTGGATCAACTTGCAAGCTCAAGCGCTATGTGATTTTTTGGGGGCTCTAAACCATGATCCGCGAATTTTTTAAAAGTTCGTGCGCAGTCCAGATTACCCAGCGATCCGTTAGACATTATGTGGGGTGAACTCGATGGCGAAGTCGATTCGTTCACAATGAAATGACACCCACAAGGAGATGAGCCAGACTGGATTCAACAAAACAACTAAGGTTGGCAGAACTTTGTTCTTGCTTGTATTATGTTGGGTGAGCATACTTCAGGTTGCACAAGAGCGAGGGTTCGTTTGATCTATTTTCTGATGATGGAGAAACCTATCAATATTGGTTAGTTAATGCCCATTGAGATGACTCGCACCAGATTCCAGAATGACTGCAGGAGGTTCTTTTATGGGAACCTATTAACACAGAGGTTGCCGCAGGGGGGGGTGCCGGTTTATGAGGAAGCTGATGAGATTGTGCTTGCACCGGCCGAGTTTCTAGATATATTGGCGATACCACCAAAGAATGGTCCAAAGTTGAGCATTGTTTCCAGACAAGAACGGGATGTCAATTTGCAAAGTCACATGTATGGTATGATGAGTCTGCTTTTGCAAAAGGTGGGGGTGACAGAGTCAGATAAGCAGAAACTGAACCAGGATTGTCTATTATTGGGGTCGACCAATAAGCTATTGGGATTATCATCGGGTAGCCCGCTCCACTCTTTTGATGATCGGAACACTACTCCACCATCTCCTGGTAGGGCAAGGCTGTGAGAAGGTTGATAAGCTATTAGCCATTGCGAGAGATGCTGCGGACAACACCACAGGTGGTTCGAGGTCTTGTGGATCGGGGCAGGCTCGAAGATTGGTAGATGAGGAGTTCGATGGAGAGGGATCAGAGTACGACCCGAGTGCATCCGCTTAGCCAGGGAGTTCCTTCTTTCCACCCTCATACTTGATATCTTTTTTATGTGCAGTGTCAGCACTTTTTAAGTGTAGGGTAGGAAATTTCCTTGGATGAGTAGTAGTAGTATGTTAGTACTAGTAGTAATGTAACTTCTTATTTTAGATTCTAGCTTCTTAATTTTATTTGCTTAGTTAATAGAATTAGTAATGTAGTACAATAGAATTAGTTTTAGTAGTTTAATTCGAAAAAAATAGAAAAAATATATCTCAAAATTAAAAAAAATGCAGAAAAAGTAAACTTTTTCCGATGATGGATCTATTGAATAGCTTTCTTGAGGGATTAAGGTCCAATAAAAATATTCTAAAAATATTTTTATTTTTATTTTTAGTTAGTCATAGGTAGATAATAAGCCCCTTTGGTTTTTCTTTAGGTATCAGTTCTTTTCCAAGGGATGTAACTTGAACCGGATATATTTTTTTTTTTTTATTGTTAGAAAATCGAGGGAAGAAAACTTGAGTGTGCTATATGCCTTTTGACCTGTTTGATGCTAGCATAGTTAGGCCTTAGCATGAGAATTACTTTCCCAACGTGTTTTAGTGAAAATTGATGTCGTAAAAGATTGAATAGCTTGTCTATGATGCTTTCTCTCAATCACTTGATTCATTGTTCATTGCTTTATTGCTTAATGCTTCTCGAATTTGTGATTACTTGCCTAAACTTGAGAGTTGGAATGGAACCGTCCCGACTGGGTTCATGTGCATTGTCTGATGTGAAGTTCTGATTACATTCTGTGCTATCTTGTGTTTGTCTAGAACTTGCCCTGTGTGTTAGTCGAAGCAAAATAAGTAAGCTTTGTGAGTCTAGGAGATGATGCAAGCATTTATTTGATTGTCCATTGAGCTATTATGCCACCATAAATAAAATTATCATTATATGGCTCATTTGAGCCTATAAGTTTTTTCTTTGGTACCTACATTATAAGCCGACTCCCATTTTATTCTTAATTTAATATTTTCGAACATTTACCTCCAAAAATACTTAAGTCGCTATAAGAGTAAGGTGAGAGTAGTAGCTTTTAAGTGGAACCATAAAAAAGCTAAAATGGTGCATGTATGTTTGAAAGATCATTAGCGGGGCAACCTAAATATGAAAAGTGTTAAAAAAAAAGAGGAAAAAAATTAAAGAAAATACAAAAAGAGAAGAGAAATGGAAAACAAAAAATACAGCGCCTATTCTTTTTAATTCAGATTAGTAAGTGTATAGATGTGCTTAAAGAAAAATACCAAATTGTATATGGTTTCGTGACATTGCTTGAATTAGTCATGAAGAGTGTGTATTTGAAAGTTAAGTGTAGTTTATTAAAGTGTGTAGGAGGGTTAGTCACTATACTCAAAATATAGCCTACACGTTCCTTAGCCTACATTACAACCCGTAAAGACCTAATCTATCTTAGACTGTGCAAGCTTAGATTGATGGAGATATACACTACGGGCAAGCCTATGGTACAACCACAAAATGCACATGAATTTCTTTGTGAGAGTGAGTGGTTCTTTGTTCATATATATGATGTCCTTAAATTATATTCGAATGCATAATTGAATGTGTGGACGAAATACCCTCTTATCCTTTAGTGAGACACATGATTCCATGACGGATAGGTGACGTTATTAAACATTTCTTGATGAGTGGGTGCACGAGTTGAGAGTTCTTATTGGCGACGAATCGGTCTTTGAGGTTGGGTGGTTATGGGAAGCTTATTTGAGCATTTTAAATTTGTCACTAATATTCAGGCATGAGAAAGTTGAGAAAGGTATAAATGCGTATGTAAGGGCTTAATTGTTGGTATAAACCAGAGTCATAGGTTTAGTGTGTCGAATTGCCAAATGTTTGATGGTAGGCTAGAAATACGATTTTTTGGCCATTTTGCAATTATTATTTGCTATACTTTAATTATATTTGAGCTGAAAAATGGGTAATTTATATTCATTACGTATTTTTGTTGTGTAGGTTGAGAATCCGGGCTAAGACAAGTTTTTGGAGCTAAAAAGGAATAAAAGAGAACTTTGAAGCCTGAGTAAAAGATCGAGAGTTAATCCGTAATCGAGCTCGGGGTTAAGGACCGGGTACACATAAGAAATAGAAAAAAAATATGAAGCTTAAAACTTCTATCCCTCTGAAAAGTGGGACTAATACGTCACATGTTATGCCTTGGCAAACGAGAGAATAAGCCATTTTAGCTTCCGGAGAGAATAAACAAGGCAACAGGAACATTTGGTCTAACATCTGAATCTTTTCATTGTCACGTCGTGTGCCGCGACGTGAGCCGCGTCCACGTCGCGACATGCTAATTTCGGTTTTGTTAAATTCTATTTCGCCTCAGTAAGAGTATTTCGGTCAAAGAGTATTTTGTACACGGTATAAATATTTTCTAAATACAATTTTAAAGGGGGATTCGACATAGGAGAGTTTTGGGGGAGGCAACTAAGGCAATAAGCCACAAGAATTCATTAAGATTTCAACCAATGATCGGTACAATACGGGAATTTGTATTGAATCATTAGCATTGATGTTTTCTATATTTTTAAACCTTATTGAGATGACTTTTTCCATTTATATGGAGTAATTTCCATTAGGGAGTTGACAAATACGGTGTTTTGATAACTTGATTAGGGATTGGATTCTTGATAATTGTGAGAATTAATTGATGGAGTTTTAATTCGTATTGTGAAGTTATTTTTTATTTTGCTTAATCAAAAGAGGAGCTTAATATTGAATTTCTTTACATCTTATGCTATAGTTTAAATTCGTGATTCAAATAGGTAATCGAAAAAGTTTCTTGAATTGTTAATCAAACTAGAAAATAGGGAAATATTCACGAGAAGTTACTCTTTAAACCATAACCATCATTTTATTCGTTGCAATTATTTATCGTACTTCAATTGGACTCTGATTATTATTGACGATGGAGTACAACCAGCATAAGAAAACAGTTGAAGAGTTAGCAGCTGAATATTATCACAAGTCTGCTATTTGTTTTAAATGCAGTGGAAATCATCTATGGGTTGACATTCAAGAAGGTAAGTATTCTTTATATGGTTCATCTTTTGAAGAGTCTTACGTTGTTTCTAGTTCGTGCAAGTATGAGGTTTCATACGGGTATAATCTGAACTCTGAATGGAATGAATACCCTTATTACAACTGGAGTAAACGTGAAGTGAGACAACCACCTCAAAAGAAGAATGGTAGTTTATAAGAGTTTATGTATAAGTTCATGAATAGTGTTGAAGAAAGATTTATATAAAATCAAGAAAGACTTATACAAAATGCTGAAGACATTAAGAACCTAACAACGCAAGTGAGTCCAATAATATGTATACTCTCCGAATGCTCACTGCATTGTGATAGTAAGTATATGGAAGAGATACTCTGTGAGAATGCGTCTACCCAAGAGGATGAACATCTACAGAGAAAGGTTTCCACTCTGTAAGAGGAATCTGATTTAATTGAGATGAGGCTTTGGTTGATTGTGAATCAATTGAAGAAGAGTTCAACCCCCATCCACCTTTTCATATTTATAACCTTTAGTAGAAGAGAATGTGAAATAAAGGATTTTGGACATAGCAGAGGAATATTCTCATAACCTTTCTTCTTTGTTTCTTATTCTAACATTGATCATGTGGATTTTATTTTTACGAATTTATAGGAAGATGCATGGAGTGATCATGTGAAAGACTGCAGGAACAAATTGAGGATCATCCTACAAGAATAATTCAATGCTCAAAATGAGGTCAAGTAAGAAAGAAAAGAGCGGGTCTTACAGATATCCTTAGAACACTTTGTCCTAGTGAGCTCCATGAAGAATCCCAAAGAGCAGAAACATGGAATGAATTCAAAATTAGGGGTTGAGTTCATAAGTTCTCGAAAACAAGAAAAATTCAGGGGAGTTTTCTTTATCTCTTAATTTTAATTTGTTTGTCATAGGGACATGCCACAATTTAAAGTGTGGGGTGGAAAATGTAAATATGTATTTATTTTTTTTTTGTGTGTTTTTCGTCATTATTGTAGAAAATTAAAAAAAATTAGACTCCTCCCAACAATAGATTTCCTCGATTGTTTTCTTAATGGATTAAAGTCGAAACAAAAAAGTAAAAAAGAAATTTAAAAATTTTGAAAACTCAAAAATATGTCTTTTATTTTTTTTCTTAGCTAGTGTAACAACCCCCCTTGGTTTTTCTTTGAACCACGATTCTTTTCCAAGGGTTTTTACTTGAATCAGGTGTAGTTTGTTTTTCTTTTGTAGGAATAAAGAGAATTTTGTTTCGTTGTACTTATTGGAGACAATCTTTCTCAACTTGTTGTGCATTGAGAGCAATGAGTGCCTTAGTTATGATGCCTAGGCTCAGTTCTTGGCGAGTGTATAAGTACCTTAATTTATTTGATCTTGACCGTGCTTAACTGCTCTAACTTGAGAGTCGGGATAGATCCGATCCTATGTGAGTTATGTGCCAATGTGTGAGTGAGGTTTTTGTTGATATTCTCTGCATGTCAGTTGATGTCTAGAATTTGCCCCGTGTGCCTGCAAAATGAAACAGAAGTTTTGTTCAGTGTAGGAAGTGATATAGACATTTCTTTGTTTAGCCAATTATATGTTTGTGACCCGCCTAATTATTGTGTATCCTAGTTATCCCTTTTGAGCATGTAATCCTATTTTCTTTGGGAACCACACTATAAGCCTGACCCGTTTGTTGAATTAACCATTTATTTGAATCTTTTTGCCTCTCTTGAGCACTTGAAATATTTATGAGCTTGTTAAAAGCTAAATGGAGGTATGGTTGGGTTTTTGAGTGGAACTGAAAAAAATGGAGAAAGGTGCACTGTTTAAAAATAGTGAGAGCCACTCGAGGGGAATTAGAAAAAGAAGGAAAGCTGTTTGAAAAAAAAAGAAATCAAAACATTGATATGAAAAAAAAAGAGTTTGTATATGTATTAGAAAAAAATTGATTTATTGCCAGTGGTAGTTCTCATCTTTTTTGTGCTTAAAGAAATTACGAGCTTGATGTTATTTTGTGAAGGTTGGGGAGTGGTTCAACACAAGTGCGTGATTGAATTTGTGAAATTATATGTATTAAAGTGTTCAAGAAGATGTAATCACTATAACCAAATGTCCTACCCGTCGCGCAACCTACTTTATAATCAATTAAAGTCCTACTCAATCTTTGACTGAATAAGCTCAATTAGTATAGTATTACACTACGGGCAAGCCTATGATGCATCTTTTGTAGTATATGAATTTTAATTCTGAGAGTGAGTAAATTCTTTCTATTTTGAGTTCTTAATTATTCTTAAACTTTATTATTTGTTGAACTTGCCACGACCCAAAATTCACTATAGGTCGTGATGGTGCCTAACACCGCCGGAAAGCCAACGGTGATTGATCAACTTAATTACTCCTTTTTATTGCTTTGAAATCATAATTCCCATTAATTAAGTAGTATAAAAGATGGTACTCATAGAAAACCTGAGACTTTATTTTCCAATTCTTGTATAAACTATAAATTTCAAGGTGATATGATAATAATTACGTGAACTACAATAATGAATAACCAGTAGGAACCCCAAAATCTGGTGTCACAAGTGCATGAGCATCTACTAAAGAGTACAATAATAATAACACATCTGTCTGGAATACAAGTTAGATATGAGAATATAAATAACTCTTATGGAGACTCTGTATGCTGCGGATTGTAACATGGAATGTAGCTCACCGTAAAGTCCCCGCAATAGTCGCGCCTTTGCGCCCAGGGACCACCAGAAACATATATATACATGCAAAATAAGTGCAACAAGTGTAGCGTGAGTACGTAAATCAACGCGTACCCACTAAGTATATAGCCTAACCCCATAGAAGTAGTAACGATGGGTCGACATTGACATTTACTAGAGGTCCAATAAGACAGATACAGTAAGGAGTAAACAAATATGGGGCAGAGCAGATAAACAGTATGAACAAATATAAATACGAGGTACAATCCTCCTCTGAACGGTAAACTCAAGCTCTCACTAACCAGTTTCCTCCTCAACTGGAGTATATATATAATGGACCTCACAAGATAGTTCGTCACAACTCAAATGAGTAAAAACACACGGATACGCTGGTTTCTTGTCAAATATTACGCATGACGCTACTGAGGCGAACGACCCGATCAACAAGAGTATTTTATAGAAATACCGCGGCGAATGGCCCGATCAACAACAGTATTTTATAGAAATGTCGTGGCAAACGGTCCGATCCCATCATAATGTGTGCACTACTGAGGGTCGCATGACACGAACCATAGATGAATCTATTATGCTGTCGAGGCGAACGACCCACTCCCATAAGAGTGTGCTACATAATCCTGCCGAGGCGAACGATCCGATCCGATTAGAATAAGAAGCTTTAACGGGTCCTTGATCCCACTCATGAATAAACGTGTGGGTTATGAATTTTAAGAAAAACCTTTCGATAAACGCATAGCGCGGGAGAACTTCGTAAGAGGAGCACAATTATTCTGCGACTAATCATGAAGCTCGTCAAATCTCTACAATATCAAGTATATCACTCTATGCAAGTCTAATCTCAAGTTTTNGGGGGAACATAAGTCTACCTGGACATAACATGAATCTAGCTACATACGGACTCCGTTACCTCGTGTGTACGTAGCGCCCGCAACAAGTAGCACATATCAAATACATCACCTAGGGGTAGTTTCCCCCTCACATGGTTAGACAGGAGACTTACCTTGCTCCGAAGTTCCATAACTGGCTCCAATGCCACTCCAACACCTCAAATCGATGCTCATAGCTCCAAAACTAGTCAAATAATGTGAGAACTAATAAAAATATACTCTAATACTCATAATAAATCAATTCATAACAATTCCTAATTCCGCTCGAAAAGTCAATAAAGTTAACCCACGAGCTGGCGTGCTGGGATTTCGAAAATATTCGAAGATAAACTTTACCCATAACACCACAAACTCAAACATATAATTTATTCCAAATTACACGTCCAATTTCGTGATCAAAATCCAAAAATACCAATTTCTAGGTTTTCTACCAAAATCCCAAATTTCTACTAATTTCCATGTTTAGATCCACATATAATCGATGTATTTCACTAACATTATGTGGGAATTACTTACCTTGCAATGGTTGATGAAAATATCCCCTTGAAGCTCTCCAAAATCACCCAATCCAATAGAAAATAAAAGAAAATGGGTCAAATCCCGTATAAAAATCAAGTCTGTCCAGTCCTGTCCTTCTTCGCGATCACGGGAACATCTTCGTGATCGCGAAGGCTAAAAATCACTGCCTCCAAAATTGCTCTACGTGTTTGCGACCAAAGGGCCTTGTTCGTGAAGCCTTCTGACCCCTACCCTTTGCGTTCGCAGTCCACGAGCCGCGTTCACAAAGGCTTAACGCCTGGCAGGCCCCAGCTCCCCTTCCTCTTTACGTTGGCGACCGCAACTCGTGTATGCGTAGGCTTTCCCAGCCTCTGCTCTGTGTTCGCCTCTCCTCCATCGCATTTGCGATGGGAAAAGTCCCAATAGCCCCCAAAATCTTTCGCGAACACATGAGACCCTTCACATTCGCGAAGAAGGAAACCAGACACCAACAACAACAATGACAAAACAAGGAGAATTGATCCGAAACTCACCCGAGGCCCAAAGGACCCCGTCCAATCATACCAACCATTCCCAAAACATGATGCAAACTTTCTCGAGGCCTCAAATCATGCCAAAAAACATCCAATATATGAATCGACAATCAAAATCCTTCTTTAAACTTTCAAACTTCCAAACTTTGACGAATGCATCCGAATCATATCAAAACATTCCGGAATGACGTCAAACTTCACGCACAAGTCACAAATCACGATACGAACCTATTCCAAAACTCGAAACCCCAAAACGACATCGATAACACGAATGTCCACCTCAAACCAAACTTAGGAAATTCTAAAATATTCAAAATGCCAACTTTCCACAATAAGCACCGAAATGCTCATGGGCGACCCGATAATCAACTCGAGCATAAGCCCAAGTCCGAAATCATCATATGAACCTATTAGAACCTTCACATCCCGATTCCGAGGTCATTTACTCAAAATTCAAATCTTAGTAAATTCTTCCAACTTATAGCTTCCGAAATTAGAATTTTCCATCCGAATCACCTCTGAACTTCCCGAAATTCAATTTCGACCATACGTACAAGTCATAAAATATGAAGTGAAGCTACCCGAGGCCTCAAACCGCCGAACGACGCTCTAGAGCTCAAAATGACCGGTTAGGTTGTTACATTCTCCCCCACTTAAACATACGTTTGTCCTCGAACGTGCCAAGAACTGTTCTGGAGTTGTCCAAAATCATTGTTTAACACCTCATGCACTTACTCGTGCCACCACAACCAAGTTGAGAACATTATTTTGAAACAGATTGAATCCTCCCTTTTTATTTAGCCAATAAGCCTTAGAACCAAACTCCAACCTCCGAATTCATGCACCCATGTTGACATCACGCAATGCACCGCAAAACTCACTTACCCAAGGCAACCTCCTCCAAGCACAACGACTGCAAATTAACTAACCCGACATCCGTAGTATACCTCATAACATATATAAGCCATGTTTAATTCCTCACAATACTATAACGATGAAAGATATGCGTCTTCTACTCAACAAGAACCATTACCTCATTCTAAATTGAATAGTGATAGTTTTTCTTTAATATACCTTACACAAATCTGATTGCACTGATTTCAGGTCAAATAACCTCGTCTGACCCAGTACAAGCTGCTTAGGCAATAAGCCACCTCAAACACTAACCAGGATCTCATATGACGCCATCAATGCGCCAACAAGATACAAACTCGAATGTGATACATAAGGAAAAAAGAACTACCCGACCTGCATAACGAATAAAACGGTCGAACAGATGCTATGAACCATTGAGAGACAAAATACACAAGAATAGATATAGGGAACCGTAC